TTTAGGGCCTCTGGGTTATAACAATGAGAAGAACTATGATTAAAATAGGGTTCCTTTGTAGAGGGTTGTTTCAGGGCTACGCTAAGGGTTGCTATAAGGGTTCTGTAATATGGGGCCTTGATACTCAGAGTAGGGGTCCTTCACAGGTTTTTAAAAAAAGTGGTATCTGAGGGTTGTAGACTAGGTCGTAGGATTTTAGTATAGGCACCTCAAACAGGGATTTGGGGTCCACAATACTATGGTAAGTATCATAAGGCCTTTCAGGGAAATTGAATAATGTTGCTATTTCGTCCAGCGGTCATCAGTCATCTATACTAATAGTGTATTACGGTATTAGTTGATCATCTACCTTACCTTGTCATGCTTTGTCCTTCCGATTTACCCAGCCCAAAGGCTCCGGCGAACGCCGCCGGGGCTCAGGCAAGTACGCCTCCGAGCTCATGTAGCGCACATCTTGTAGAGCCTGGTTCTGGGTTTCAAGGGTTAAGGACCCAAGCATTTGTAATTATCTGCCCCTATATCAAGCATTTAACAGGTTAGGGCTTAGGGTTTCCACACCTCTGTTGCGGGCGCGTGGGTGGGAGCATGGACAGGACCTTTTCCATGCCCCCTCAACCCTTGTCGAAATTCCGGGGCACGTCTGGCAGTCGCATGTGAAAAGGCTTCTCTCTCAGTTAACTTGCTTCGTCGACACAGAGATCTTTGCAACGGGCGTTCAGATCGGTATAGTCTTGGGATGTCTTGGGTCAAGCACGATTCGGCTTGCCTGTGTGCAAACCCAGAAGCTCCAATGCCCTTGAGCATAGTTCAGGTATACTGCTTGGATTATACCAAGCATTCCTCAACAGCTTGCTGTCTGTCTCTTCAAGGGGCTTCGGAGCCTCTAGGCATCAAAGCCATGAAGCGGCGGCAGCTGACATTGCCAGCCTGCCACCCTTCAAGAGTTCCGCGAAGTGGGGAGTCCCTGTCTGAAAGGGTCTTTGACCATCTATGCAGGGGCCTGAGTAGATGGAAACACTATTCCTCCGGGTTCCTTATTCGCGGACGCGCGGTGAGACGGGGATATCTTGGAAATCTTCCTCCTCAACACGCTCATCAAGGACACGCTCAGAGTATACCTCCGTGGATGGCACGCAGCTTTTATATCGACGGGCTAGAATTTGCTAAGAGATGCTTCGTTGAGGCCTTTGGCATTTTGACTGACAAAGTTCTGGTTTAGGACATTCGCATGGGCTGTCCATGGCAGACCATTCCTTGCAGAATGCGTCGCACTGCTAGGATTCTTGTAAGTTGTCATTCAATCACATGTCTCAGCACCTTAAAACCGAAAGCTAAAACCGAACCCATGCGGCAGCCCCATGTAAATCCTCAAAGCCCGAAAACCCCAATGCCCGAACAGCCCTAGCCCCGAAGCACCAAACGCCCTCACACCTGTTGAACCCTTGCTTGAAACGATTATAAAACCCCCACAGAAAACATGTGATAACCCGCTGAAGCACCCTGACTACAAGCGTTGTAAAACCATGATATACGGAGTGCATACTTGGAAGATGATTTCAATATTTTCTTGGACTTACATTTTGAAAGACCACAAGAAGAAACATGCAAGCAGGAGGAACACCCAGCTAAATGCTTGCTTCAAGGACATGGGATCGCCCTTAAACCCTAAAGCCAAAAATCTATCCAAGCCCTAAACCTTCAAGGGTTAGGAGATTCTGAGGCAACAATACGGATCGCACCATCTGGGGTTCCACATGAGGGAGATGCCCCTGCTTTCTCAACTGCGAACTCGACAGAAGTAGCAGAGGTTAAGGCTCTCTGTTTCGGGTTTGGGGCTTTAGGGTGGGTCGGGTCAGGGGTTTTTGGGGTTTCCGTGCAGTTCGGATCTGGATGTCGGGTCTGGGGTTTTGCGGTGTGTTAAGGCTTTTGCTTGAGGGCTTTATGGCGTTTGCCGGTTGGTCAGGGAGCTGAGTATTTAAGGTGTTTATAGCAGTTTAGCGAATAGGGCTTGAAGGTTTAATTATGGTTTAGGCCTATGACTCCCGAGTTTTCACGCGCCTCGCCCATAAACGCACCATAAACGTCGCCGTCCTCGGACCTGTCTGTCGGCCCAGGAAGAGCTGCTGGGGTGAGTGGAGTTGCCCTGAGGCTACCCATAGGCCCTAGAGTAGTTCCTTTTTGGGGTTACCTTATAGGATTCTATATATGAACCCCAAAAAGGAACTACTTTAGGGCCTATGGGTACTCAACCGTAGATAAGGTTTAATTCGTGGTCTCAAACACAACAGCCACAGTAGGACTGCAGCAGCAGCCACAACAACATCACAACCTTGCGCCCAACATCCTAGAATCCTAGAAAAACCCTGCAGCACAGACCTAAAAATGCCTGCAACCCTAAACCCTATACCCAAAACCCCGAAAGCCTAAACCCAAAACCCTACACCCTAAACCCCGAAAGCCTAAACCCAAACCCCTACACCCTAAACCCCGAAAGCCTAAACCCAAAACCCTAGGCCCTAGGTCCGCGGCAAAAGCGTCCATCGCGGCTTCGCCCGGCCGGAATCTTCGGGATCCAGGTCCTTTGCGTCTTTTTTGTGGGGGTTTAGGGTTTAGGGTTGAGGGGTTTAGGGTATAGGGGTCTAGGGTATAGGGGTCTAGGCTACTAGGGTTTAGGGTGGAGGGCTTAGGGATTTGGGGATTTTGGGATTTAGGGTTTAGTTTTCTTTGGGTTGGGGGAGGGGCTGCGGGAGGTCGGCTTGCAGTTAGGGCTTCGAGCTTTTTCATTGCTTGCCGCCTTGCTGAAGGAGTCCCGAGGCGGTTTCGAAGTTCAGGGTCTACAGGTTTCCAGCTGCGTGTCTTTTGATGGCTGCTAGGATCTTAATATGTCTGTGTGTGTTCTAGGGCCAGCGGCGGCGTTTGGGGGAAGATGCGGGCCGGCGAAGCTTGAAACGCTTCTTAGATGACATGTGGAGTCAGCAGAACTTCTGGATCATGTTGACAGCCATCATGAGCCATCAATTCTGGCACTACAGGGACTCCATCAGCAGAACCCTTCGGGATCTGATCTCTTCCCTGTTGGCCCACAGACTTCACATACAAGGCATGGTATACTGTAATTAATATAGTATAGTGAGGTAGCAACACCTACTATGCCCTAAACCCTCAACCCCTCAACCTTGAACCGTATTTCATATACTACTATTTTTAACCCTAAGCCCTAAACCACCCTAAACTCCAATTACACCCTGAACCCCCAACCCTCCACCTGTTGCGGCCCGGTGGCCCTAGCTTTCATGGCGGCTTTCTGCTGCTTCCGCCATTGCTTGGAGAGCCGACGCATCTGCAGCCATGTGAGGATCGAGACCACGCCGATGATGGGGGTGATCAAAGCCTGGCAGTTTAGAGTTATAAGTTATAAGCTTTTTCCCACCCGCCCAGCTGACCAAGTCGCGCCGCAGGGAGTTTCGTCGGACGTTACTAGAGATTGAGGGGACTCCAAGGAGGCTCACAGTCTTCCGAAGTGTCACGCAAAAGCCAAGTTACAACCAGTAAGTGCAGAAAGACTGTCGCCCCGTCGGATCCTCCAAGTGTGGGCCACTATCCCCAACGAAACCCTCACAACATAACCAGGGGTCCGCACTACCGGAGGAGCTCAGGTCGGGTTTGTACACGTGTTGCGTAACTTGACAGTGTCGCCACTCAGTATGATAGCCAACACAAGGGTAAAGCAAGTATAAATAGAGTTATCCAAAGGGTAGAAGTATGTCAAAAGTAGGAAATGACAAGGCTGGAAACACTCTCATGGCGCAACCCAATCTACATGGCTTGAAATCGGAGAAAGCGCTGCCCTCAACCTAAGTTATAAGCTAGGGTCTTTAAAGGGTATAAGCTAGGGTTCAAAGTGATAAGCTACGGTTTACAGTTCTACGTTAATTATAAGCTTCGGTTTTAGTCACAGGTAGGGTTCAAACAGGGTTCCGGGCGTTGGAATGGAGGCGTCGGGGCAATTCATTTGGGCTTGGGATGGCTTGTTGCTCTGGGCTCTAGGGTATTTGAGAGTGTGAAGGTTTGGGTTTACAAACAGCGGAAGAGAGGTCGCAGTGCATACAGCGTTCAGCTTCTCTCATGCACCCTACTGTTCCTGCGTAAAGACGGCGTTGGCTTGGTACTCTTGTACACCCCGCTTTGCATCTGCCATGAACGCCGCACACCCTAAACCCTGAACTGACCAAGAAACCCCTTTCAGCATGGGCTTGGATTGTGTGCCAAGAAACCCCTAAACCCTAAACTCCGAAGCCCTCGGCCCTAAACCCCTAAACCCCAACCACTAAACCCCTAAACCCCTACACCCCCTAAACTCCTAAGCCCAGTCTGGGTCAGGCCTGGATCAGCCCCGGGGTCGACATACTCATGGGCCCAAAGCCCTGAAACATCTCCTTCGCTGCCCCCAAGAAAGTGTACACTTTCAGTTTTATATATAGTGGGTAATATTGCCCCGAAAAGTTTTCCACGTTCAGTTTTATAGTGGGTTATGTTATCCGCAAAAAATGTATACTTTCAGCTGTATAGTGGGTAATATAGCACCCCCAAAAGTGTATACTTTCAGTTATATAGTGGGTTATAGTACCCAAAAACGGTGTAAAATGTATCCACTCAGCTACCCAGTCTCCGAGCCCGCTTGATCGTCGTAGTAGTCCGTCAGCTCGAGGTTCAAGAGGAAGCCCAGTGCTATTGTATAGAGCCTGAGCTTTGTGAACACAAATAACATTATATACAATATAGGGTTTAGGGTTTAGGGTATAGAGCCTGAGCTTTGTTTTAGGGTTTAGGGTTTAAGGCTTAGGGTATAGAGCCTGAGCTTTTGTTAGGGCTTAGGGTTTAAGGTTTAGGGTATAGAGCCTGAGCTTTTCTTAGGGTTTAGGGTTTAAGTTAGGGTATAGAGCCTGAGCTTTGTGAACATAAATCATATAGGGGGCTTATTAATTACCTATGCTGTTCTTGCGTTTCCTTATTAACCCTATTCTAATTATGCAGGCCCCTATGCCCTATACTATCCCAAAATCGGTCAACCCTAAACCCCAAAAGGTTAAAAGCTGCCACTTCAGCTCATGGGTAGCAAAGGCAGCCAGAATCTCGACCACTTGTCCACGGTCCTGGCTAGTGTAGGCTTTGCTGGGCCCCACATGACCCAGACCCCTAAACACCGAAACCCAACAGCCCCAAAACCCTAAACCCGACCGCAATCACCCCACCCCTCCGCAAAAAAAAAAGTTACAACCAAGACACACACAGACACACACACAC